TAGTCCCATCTATTTATCTTTGCCTTCACTATTGTGGCGTTGGGTGCTCTGTCTTTAAAGATGTCGAGAAGCTACATCTTTTAATTCACTGTGTTCTTTCTACACCTGTTGCCCCTCAGCTGCCACATGGGGTCTACCATATATACTTACTAAGAGCAAACAAAATATCAAATGTTACATTGCTTTTGTCTGATAGAATGTAAAGCTCTGAGCAGCTTTATTATAGTTGAGATTCCCTGGTTTCAAATCCCAGCTCTGCTATTTACTATCTTTAGTTTCATCACCTATCAGTTTTGTCATTTATCACTTAAGAATAATAATAGTATCAATATCATTCATGAGGATTATGTAAAGCACTTTTAAATAGTGTTTTGCATATGTTCAATATACTATTTTATTATACTTGTTTATTTTTACATCATTTGGTGCCTCTTTCCAGTTGTTATCCCCGTGGTTAATATACTATTTTTTTTTTTTTTAAGATTTAATATTTTATGCGTCCAAGTTCAAGGATAAGAGCCGGGGTGGGCCGTGGGTGGGGGGGTTTGAGAGGATTCACTAGAGACAGATTGGGGAGCAAAACAGGCAGAACTACTGAAATACATTGCTGAGGGGAGCAGCAGGTGAGACAGGAGAGGTCTGCTGGCCATGTGGGTCACCTCCCTGCTCTGGGATTGAACTGTGCTGCAGTAGCTATGGGAGAGTTTCATAGTGCTGCGCTTTAACCCCTTGTGCCACCAGGGAGGACCTCAATATATACTATTGAATAGTAGTACAGTAGGAATCTGTCCTCTTATTTTGTTTATGGTGAAGCTAAAACAATGACTACCCAAAAGTAAATAACTAATTAAAATTATTGAAAAGGATAAAGTTTATATGAGTAAGCTTAAATTGAATATTAAAAAAAATAATAATGGATTTAATGATATAATGTCATTAAGTTAGATCTATCCCAATCCATAGGTAGGGGAGTAGGCCAGAAGATGGAGGGAACTTGGAGGGCAAGGTTTGGGATAATGATTTACTTAACGTGGAAACCTGGGCCTTTCATTAATATATGAACTGGGTACATAGACACATTAGTCCTTTAACTTCTATATATCTTAGGTCACACTCAAAATTTTTCTTAAAGACAACTCTTTTTTCTCTCTCTTTCAACTTCTGTCCAGGTATTGAATTTTTCTCTAATTGTCTTGATAAAAACCTAAGACTCACTGTGGGTGAAATAGAGCAGGCAGTAGGGTCTTGACTTAGTTTGAAATTCAGGAGGAAGGGATGTCCTACATGGCTCATCCCAAATCAACCTTCTGTATTTTGGAGGCTTCATTCTAGCTAAAGTAAAGTGTAATTTTATTACCTGATTTTTCCACTGTTTGTTCCTTTTGTTCATACACCTCTTTGGGGACTTCAGTAAGTGTGGGATTTGGACATTTCTGAATACTGTCATACTAGTTAACAGCAATTTAATCTCATAATTGTATTTATTGTGTTCACTTATGTCTATCAGTCCAAATTAAAAAACAACACAAAACTCAGAATGTTTGACAGAACATTCTATTTAGGCAGTTTTGCAGCAGACAGTAGCAGTTAGTACCATGTTGAAATTCAGGGAGATTATGTTAAATTCTACAGAAGATTTTCATTTGTGTGACATAGATTCTCTCTATTTTTTGTCTTTACAGGTTGCTATGGTGACAGACTATGGCGCCTTTATCAAAATCCCAGGCTGTCGGAAACAAGGTGGGAGCCTATAACTTGAAATTAAGTCCTCCCATTCCATTCTCTCTACAGCCATTGCTATCCCATCTTAATTATAGACCGTGTTTTTCAGATAGTAATTTTGTTTTTATTTTTTACTATAGAAATCAGACTAGAGACAGGTGATAACAGTTCATTTTTAGCAGTTCCTGATTCAGAAGAATAGTGGTGCCTGACTTGGGGGGATGACGGTTGGGGGGTATAGCTACTTGAGTTCATGCCTGGAACTAGTTCCACCCTGGATTTCACTTGTGACTCTTGGCAAGTCATTTGATCTCTTTGGTTTTAGGATTTGGGAGAGAATAATCTCCTTTCTGCTACTGTCAGCGTGAGTTTCCTAGTTATAACACATCAAATGAAAATAGTGTTGTAGCCAGTACAAACCTACATGTATTGTAGTACCACAGTTATCACTGTGATTTCCTGGTATGACAGTGTACTATTGTTTTGCAAGATGTTACCATTGGAGGAAATTGGGTGATGGATGAGGGCACACACAGGATGTCTCTTTCAACTGCATGTGAATCTGAAATCATCCTAAATTTTTTTTTTTAAAGATTTATTTTATTTGTACATACAGAACTGGGGTACAGGCCAGAGGCTCAGGGGCAGTGAGAGGCTTCACCAGAGACAGAGTGGGGAGCAGAACAGGCAGATTGAGGAAGTTCACTGCTGAGGGGAGCAGCGGGCGGGTCAGGAGAGGTCTGCTGCGCCATGTGGTCACCTCCGGGGCAGGCGGGGATCGAACTCATACGTAAGTGGCTTTAGCTTCTCAGTGCAGTGCTTTAACCCGCTGCGCCACCAGGGAGGGCCCATCCTAAAATTTTTTAAAAGGTCATTTAAACCACTTGTAACATCTTTTTTATTTTTTTTAAGATTTTTTACAATTTATGCATATAAAAACTGCATATAAGAGGTGTGGGGGTGAGGGGTGATAAGATTCACCAGAGACAGAGTGAGGAGCAGGACAGGCAGATCCCACCATTGAAGGGAGCAATAGGCGAGACAGGAAAGGTCTGCTGCACCATGTGGGTTAGTTCCCTGCCTGGGGAACGAACTTGTACTGTACTTATACCGTAGCTGACCCACATGGCACAGCAGACCACTCCTGTCTCACCCACTGCTCCCCTCAGCAGTGTATTTCAGTAGCTCTGCCTGTTCTGCTCCCCACTCTGTCTCTGGGGAATCCTCTCACTCCCCGCCCCAAGACCTCCTGCAACACTCACACCTCTGGCCTATACCCCAGTTCTTATATGCATAAAAAAAAATAAACCTTAAAAGAAAGAAACTATTTACAATAAGAAACATTCTAATTTCAGAAGTGGTGAAGTGATGGGGGAAAGTCTATCTTAGAATCAGTGAAGCATAGTGAAAATGAAAAATCATGTTGCACAATAATTTATTTTTAGAAACGTGTACATATGTTAATAGACTTTTCAAAAATACTACTGTGTCTAGAAGAAACTGGGAGAATATTGAGCAAATTGCTAACTATGATTACCTCTGAGGAGTTCCATTTAGTAAGGAAGAAATGTACATGGAAGAGGGACTTTTACTTCCTGGATTTTTTTTTTAAGATTTATTTATTTATGCTTACAGAACGGGGGGTATAGGCCAGAGGTGCAGGGGCGGTGAAAGGATTCACCAGAGACTGATTGGGGGAGCAGAACAGGCAGATCGACAAAGTACAACACTGCTGAGGGGAGCAGCAGGCGGGTCAAAAGAGGTCTGCCACACCATGTGGGTCAGTTCTCTAGCCGAGGATTGAACTTGCGCTGCAGTGGCTTCGGAGAGCTTCATAATGTGGTGCTTTAACCTGTTGCACCACCAGGGAAAGCCCCACTTCCTGGATTTTTTTAAAACAAAAATTTTCTTTGAAAAGTACAACATCTGGTCTTTGGATAATGAATGCAAGCCTTTAGTCTTGGAGAGTACTATGTTGCAAATTACACCATTAGAAATGGCTTGCCAGTAATTTCCAAGATAGCAGTCAGCAATCTGTAATAAAGTTTCTCATTTTATGTTGGCTGGGAATTAATGAGGTGGAACTCATCCCCATCCCTATAGGGCATGTACATCTTTTAGTCTGAAGACAGATTTTCTCATTAGTGTACTTGCCGTAGCTGCCAGTACCTGAAAGCCCCATCCTTACTTGAGCATTTATGTGACACTTTGGGGACCATGTGGGAGTTAGAGGCCTGCCACCTTCCTGCAGTCAGTCTTCAACTCACTGGAGTCCATACCCCGTCAACTGATGCCTCAGATTGTACCTGCCAAGCTTACAGACAGATCTATCAGCCTGACAGCTGTGCTGAGACAAGTCTTGGAGGGAGAACTCAGGAAGCCAAATAAGTAGGCAGAAGCTCTGTGAGTTCTAATCTTGGGGCCTTCAGTAGATTTACTAGATTACCTGAGCAGTTAACTTTCAGGTGAGACACAGTGAATTTAGTATCAGATCTCACAAGTTACAGGGGCTCAGTCTCACAAGACTGTTGTCACTTTAGATGCCAGTGCAAGTCTCATACCACCTGTTCTTCTCACTGGCTCTGAATAAGAGTTCTGATGACCCCCTCTTCAAGTTTGATATCTTGTTCTAATGGCTTACAGAATTGAGGAAAACATCAGAATAGTGAAATGGAAGAGATTCATTTTGCAGGGCTTGCAGTTAATATACTGCTAGTGGAGTGTCAGGGCTCAGTACAGTACCTGAGGTATAGTGGGTATTCGTAAATCTTATTAAATGAATTTGAGGGCCCTCCCTCGTGGCGCAACGGGTTAGGATGCAGCACTGCAGGCTCACCGCAGCTGCCTCATTGCAAGTTCTATCCCCGGCCCTGGAGGTGACCCACATGGTGTGGCAGACCTCTCCTGACTCGCCTGCTGCTCCCCTCAGCAGTGTATTTCATTGATCTGCCCGTTCTGCTCCCCACTCTGTCTCTGGTGAGTCCTCTTATCATGACTGCACCTCTGGCTTGTACCCTAGTTCTATATGCATGAATAATAAATAAATCTTTTAAAATAATAATAAATGAATTCTATTCCCAGTTCCACCATTTACTATATTCTTACTATATTCTTTAGAAAGCTACTTAGTCCTTGGACCTTAGTTTCCTTATTTGTAAAATGAGAATTATATACAAATATTAGGGTTTCTTGTCCAGCATCTTATACTTGGATCCATTTTTGCTTACCACTTAGTGAATATCTAATAATTGTTTGAATGAATCCATAATCCTTGCAAGACTAGTATGTTTGCTTTATTATCACATACCATTGAGTGGAATTAAAGAGGGAATTCATGATCCTCAAATGTAAAGGAAACTTCTTGACAATCTTTTGGCTGTTGCTATCTGCTAATGATTTGTAATTTCTGTCTTTTTTCTTTATTACTAATGGAAAATGTAAAAGAAATTAATGTTGAACTTAACACAGTGGGGAGAATATTAAAGTAATTAGAATAGGCTAATTTTGTTTTCCTCATGCGATGATTAAGACTCTAGCCCTTTTCAAGTTGTCAGAATTTTTTTTTCTTTACCAGCAGATAATAATCTAGGACTCTTTGTTTAAATGTTATGTTGGGTTTCTTGAACATTATGATGGACTTAATATGCCCTTTGGGCATTTATGGCTTGATGTCAGAAATGTAAGCACAAATTGTTCCCTTCTGTGTGGCATGATGAGCAAAGTATGTTTTGGTTTAAGAGCATTTGTTATAGCAGAATTAGATGTGTTTTCTACTGTTGTGATGAAATGATCTTTTTCTTTTTTTTTTTTTTTACTGAAAGATAGCACATTAACAATAAAGAAAAGGGAGAAGTGTTAGTATAATCGAGTAACGTCATAGACACATACTTGAATTGCAGTTCTTGTGTTATCAGCTTTGTGACCTTGGGCCATTTTCTTTACTTCTAGGCAATTTACTTAATGTGAACCTATGTCACAGGGTTCATGTGAGGATTAAATGAATGGGTAACTATACTATGTATAGTAAGGTATGGAGTGAGGGGGGGGTCTCAAGTTTTTGGGTTTTTTTTATGTCCTCTGTCATATACATTTAATCTAACTCCTCTTGGTGTATATAAGTAACAGTAAACTACATTCCAAGAATTCAGACTGCCTTCTGATAATAAAACTGGTGTTGAGTCCTCTATATAGCGTATGAGATTAGCTACTTACTGATAGAAATATGCCAGGATCTGTGACTGAAGAAATGGGAGCACTTAAAACTTTGAAGAAAGTAATCTGAGTATAATTGCAGGGGAAAGGGATAAAATTGTAATTTAGGAGATTGAAGTGTAATTGATTGTATCACATCCTTTGTAGGGTGAGATTATATGAACAGGTGGGGTATTGTCAACCTTGGGCAAAGACACCTGAGAGCCTGAAGTTGGCAGTGCCTTCGAGCAGAAATCAATTTGATGTTAGGTACTAGAACGATATATCACTTTTGTGAGAAAGTGATAAACATTAAATCTTCAAAGACTGGAAAAGTATTTGAAAAAACTGTGGAGTAGTAGGTAGTTCACCTATATAAGGTCTAGAAATTTTCCTGATATATTCTCTGTTGTAGATTAATAGATTTGGTTACTTGCGTCTGTACCTAAACCTATTGCTGATTTTTAGTAATCTGGTTAATATATTTTTGTAGATAGTTCACCTATATGCTGAAGACTTCTTCACATCTCTTTAGCTCATATTTCTCTGAGCTACATATTTTACATTTCTAGCTGCCTTCCTGACATTTGGGAGAGGGGCAAGTGGTAATGCCATTATTTCTTTGATTGTGGTATTACAGTTAATAGATTGTCTGTTTCAGGAAAGAAAAAAAATGTTCTCTCAAGTACATTAGGTTCAATATTAATTTCCTTCACAATTTCTATTAACAATCGAGGAAATAACTAAATTTTAGAATTAAAGGACAGTTGCATCCCAAAATTGTCAGAGTGAAAGATTTCCTTTAGGGTATATTAATTTTCCCTCTGAACTTCAGTTTGACTAAGCTCATCAAACCACCTGTGGGTGTGGTGGGGAATAAGAGTTCTAGTTTCATGAATTTTACACAGTTTGGAGCTTATTAAGTTGAAGATGTGGGTTATATATTTCATATTGATAGAAAAAATGTTGGAGGCCCCATAGTTTTTCAGAGAGTTTATAAATCTCCAAAATCAGGTGAAGTAGGTATGGGAACCCCAGTAACTGTGCAGAGAAAGCAGGGACTTCCAGCTGGAATTTCACAGAGAGAGGGCAGATACTTTGAACCGTATGTGCAGACATCTCTGAGGATGCATGTGTGGGAGAGAAATTGAGAGGAAAAATAAAGGTTAAAAATTCTTCTAAACAACTTCAAGGAGGGTGGTATATACATTTGACATAAATTTTTGTTTTACTTATCAGTTTTTTAATTTGGTTTAGATTCCTGATTTACATTCTTTCAAAATAATTGTCTATTGTATTCATTTCCCCCCCAGTAGAAATAATTTTCTCTACTACAACATTTGAAAATAAGTAACAGAAAAAAATTAACCTGTTATCTAGCTTAGGATAACCATTGTTTTAGCATTTGTGGATCATTTCTTTTTTTTTTTTAAAGATTTATTTATTTGTACATACAGAACTGGGGTACAGGCCAGAGGCTCAGGGGTGGCGAAAGGCTTCACCAGAGACAGAGTGGGGAGCAGAACAGGCAGACCGATGAAGTACACTGCCGAGGGGAGCAGCGGGCAGGTCAGGAGAGGTCTGCCACGCCATGTGGTCACCTCCGGGGCAGGCGGGAATCGAACTCATGAGGAAGTGGCTTTAGCTTCTCAGTGCAGTGCTTTAACCCGCTGCGCCATCAGGGAGGGCCCATTTGTGGATCATTTCTAATTTTTAGAATTTGCTTTAAGTATTTGTAGTCATACTATATACAATTTTGTGTCATTATTTGGTGATGTATTCTGGAAAATGCTAGTTACTACCTACAGAGTTTGACACATAAATAAGCACGCAATAAATATTTACTAAGGAGTTATTCACATCTTTACATAATCTTTGGAATATTGTTTTTATACCTTGTTATACCATAACTAACTAAACCATTACCTTGTTTTTGGATATAAAATTGATTCTCATTTTTTGCCTTAGAAGTATATTGAATAGGGTCTTCCTGGTGGCTTAGGGGTTAAGTCTTAGAGCTGTCTCCACTGGCCTGAGTTCAATACCCTGCTAGGGAGCTGGCCCACACGTGGTATAGCAGACCTCTCCTGTTTTGCCTGCTGCTCACCTTAGCAGTGTATTTCTACCTGTTTTGCTCCCCAGTCTGTCTCTAGCAAATCCTCTTACCTCCCCACACTGCTGGCCTACACCCTAATTCTACAAATAAATAAGTACATTTAAAAGAAAAAGGGAATTATTTTGATGTAGGTCACTTTTTTGCATAGAGCTTTTACTATGTGTGAGGTTATTGTTATACATATTCCCACAAATAATATGGGTCAAATGAGTTATTAGTCAGAACTGTTAGCTGCAAGGGACAGGGACACAGTCCAGATTAGTTTTGGCCAATTGATTGACTACCCTTGGATAAATCCAGCTTCATTCATAATGCTGTTTACAACCTCAGGACTCTTGTTGGTCTTCTTCCCTCTGGCTATCCCTTGCCACCTGGCGGTAAAAGTGGGTATTGGTAATTTTTTTTATAATCCTGACAAGTTTTGAAAGGGTGATTTAATTTAGTGGCTGTGTCTGACCCTGACCCAGTCCATGACTGTGGCAAGGGGTCATGAAGTACATTGATTGACTGTGTCATGTGCCCACACTTAGGAGTTTGGTTAGCTACAACCAAAATCACATGAACTGAGCAGATTTTAGAATGTAAGAAAGGTGGTTTTCCTAAGGAGCGTGGGCAGACAGGAAAAGGATGTTTATTGTAAATATTTTATTAAATTGTTTTATAATTGTTCTACAATTTAATAATAACTTCTAATTTAACTGTTTATGACACTCTTGATCAACATTGCTAAAAAAGATTTCTAAAAATTTTATTAAGTAGCAATATTTCTTATTTTACTAACATTGGGCTATTTATTTACTAAATATTTTGGTAGTAGATTTGAAGTAACATTTTGTTTATATTTCCTTTGTTTACTTAATATCTATCATAATTATTTCCTATAACCATTTTATGTAGTTGCTTACTCTTTCATTTGATAGATTTACCATAGTTTACCAAGTTATTTTCAACTATTGATCATTGAAGTAATAGTATAATTTAAAAAATTGTAGATAATAATACTGCAATATTTTTTTATGTTCATAGACTTATACTGAATTTTTTTTCTTGTTTGGAAAAATTCAGCATGATATTATTACATCAAATATATAACGATCTTTCTGTGCTTTGGTTTTGAAAAATTTTACCAACTTGTACTTTTACCATTATTACATAAATATATATTTATTATATCACATCCTTACTAACATTGAGCATTTCTTTTTTAAAAAATTTATTTATTTTATGCTTATAGAACTAGGGGTATAGGCCAGAGGTACAGGGGCAGTAAGAGGATTCTCCAGAGACAGAATGGGGAGCAGGACAGCAGATTGACAAAGTACACTGCTGAGGGGAGCAGTGGGCGGGTCAGAGGAGGTCTGCCACGTCATATGGGTCAGCTCCCTGGCCAAGGATTGAACTCGTGCTGCAGTGGCTTCTGAGAGCTTCATAATGCAGTGGTTTAACCCATTGTGTCACCAGGGAGAGCATTATTTAAAGAATGTTTATTGAGCATTATTTAAAGAATGTTTATTGGTTAGGTATAAAAACAATCTCAAACTGCTTTAAATTACATTTTTAAATAAAAGAGAGCAGTGAATCCCCAATTCCCATCATCTCCTTACCTTATTAATTAGAATATAAATACCAGACATACCCTGTATTTCATTTATTTCTTCTTTTTTGTCTTCAGGTCTGGTCCATAGAACTCACATGTCATCCTGTCGTGTGGATAAGCCCTCTGAGATAGTAGATGTCGGAGACAAAGTGTGGGTGAAACTTATTGGCCGAGAGGTAAATTTCTGTGCAGTTTTCATGTGGCTAGGAAGGTTTACAAGAAGTTGGGATTTTCTTGGTATTTTTATAGTGGTGAGTATGTTTATATGGTACTGTCTGATAACCTGGTGTTTGAATGCTGCCACAGTCTGTCCTGAACTTAAGCTTCCCTGCTAACTGTCCTGGAAACTCAGAAGGAATGATGTGAACTGCAGTAAATATGGTAAAATAAGTATATGTTGGTAAACCTTCCCTTCCTGAAATTTACCTAAGTAGTGGGTGGGAAGAAAAAAGAGATAAAAACCAAGAAGAAAGAAGGAAACTATCTGTGGGACAAATCTATTACAGACTTTAAAGAATACCTACCAACTGTACTTCAGTTTGAACCAAAACAAAAATAATTTATAGTCATTTTTCCTAATATCTGGCACCATGCACCGTGAGGGAAGTGAAAAAGGTATGAAGGACCTGTTACCTGCAGAGTGTATGGAGGGCTATGGATGTGGCTTCACACCATTCCTTCTTGAATTTCAAGACAGGTAGCCAGAAGGTTTAAGTTCAGGACAGATAGTGGCAACATTCAAAAACAAGGTTATCAGCACACACACACCTCAACATTATAAAAATGGCATATCAGAAAATGGCAAGGGAGGCAAACCTGAAAGAAATATCATTCATAGTATTTGAGTGGTCTAAAGGGATATAAGAGTGAATCAGACTTATATGACCCCAGCTTTTATGATGCTTATATAGAATATAGCTGGAGGAGACAAAAAAGTAAACAAACATGTAAAATAGCAATAGATTATAATAAATGCAATAATGGATCTAATTTATATCAAGGACAAGTTTAGATAAAGTAGTCAGGAACTGACTCTGTGGAGATAGTATATGAACGGACACTTCCGAAGAAAAAAAAACTAGTATGTGAAAAGCTGGGATAAAGAATACATAATTCCAGGTAGAGTGAATAGCAGGGGCAAAGACCCTGAAGTGAAAAACTGCTTCTAGTGCTGAAGGGAGTAAGAGTATCAGTGGAGGAAGCAGAAGAGTACCAGTGTGTTAACAATTGTCTTCATGTCAAGAAGCTTGAGATCTAGTTTACCAAAATGAAACCCACTCTGGGCTCATAGATCTGAACTTAACTGTTAAGAACAGTTTTATCATCTACCTGCTAATCGCTACAGGTCCTTAATTTCTAAGCAACCATTTCCCCTCCCCCTGGAGGAACAAGAATGAGGTGAATGAAAGTTCCTTAAACTATTAAAAATACTGTATGACCCAGCAGTTTCACTTCTTGGTATGTCCAAAAGGATTGAAAATAGAATCTTGATGAGATTTGTGTACACACGTATGTAGCAGCATTATTTACAATAAGTGGAAGTAATCCAAGTGTCCACAAACACATGAATGGATAAGCAAGATGTGATATATACCGTGATGATTATTCAGCCTTAAAAAGGAAGAACACCTTGCAATTGGCTACAACAGGGATGAACCTTGAGGACATGATGCTAAATGAAATAAGCCAGACCCTAAAACCTACTTATATTTTTTGAACCTACTTATATTGTATGTGGTACTTGGAATAGTCAGAATCAAAGTATAGTGGTGGTTCCAGAGACTATGGGGGAGGGGAGAAGAGGCAGAGTTTTGGTTTCACACTGAAAGAGTTATGGGGGTAAAAGGTAGGGATGACTGACTGTATCACAGTGTGAATGCACTTAATGCTCCTGAACTGTAAGGTTAAAATGGTTAGGTGGTGAATTTTATGGTTAATAAGTGATGAAAAGAAATGAAATGAAGATCATTTTCTGCCATTCTGCCAGTACATCTGCCTTTTGTGCCTCTGAGTGGCTACGCCCTAACACACAACCTTAGCCACTACAGGTGTTTAGAGCTTGTCATGATGATGAAACTTTGATTCTTAGATAAGTTTAGATGAGGAACACATCTAATTGATACTTTGAATTTTTGGTGACTTTGCTTTTGTCTTTTTCAGATGAAAAATGATAGGATAAAAGTATCCCTCTCCATGAAAGTTGTCAACCAAGGGACTGGGAAAGACCTTGACCCTAACAACGTTATCATTGAGTATGTAAAGGTTGGGAAATCCTCTGCTTTGAAACAGTAGAATGTAGTAGTGAGTCAGGTTGGCTGGGGGATCGGCCATTTATAGGCTTTGTGATATTAATCGTTTATGTACTCTTTGTGATCTCTGGTCTTTAGAGGTAGAAAGTATAGATGATATGCTAAAATGCAAAGCTCCCAGCATAGAAATGGGATAGCCTATGTAGATGAAACTACAAGCTGGTGGTTTGCTGCCTGTCATCTTGTTTAAACAAGCTAGTCTACCAGACTCACCAAAGGCATCAGACCTTGGCAAAAGGTGCCACAACCTCACAAGTGGTAGTTTCCCAGTTCCCTGCAAGGGACGCGGGGATGATTGAAGTTCCTGCATACACAGATGGTAAAAATTGGACAGTTACCAAGGTCCCAGCCCTGGGTAGAGATGTAGGATGTAATGACATGTAACATACAAAAGCATGTAACACAGCTGCACATGTCCTTGTGCAGTCCATTCAAACCATGCTCCAGTGTTGCTCCCCTCTGCCACACTGGTAGATAAACTGCTGAAAAAACCCTTTCCTAGCTCACTGCAGGGAGCCGGCCTGAAAACTTCTCTTGCTGCTGCCTTTCTTGTGTTTGAGCATAAAGCCTTGTCTGGCTATAGTCTGTCTTGCTCCCTTGCTAAATTCTTTACAAGGGGTCAGAATCTCTAAAGAAGACTCCAAGTCTGTAACGGAAGTGTTCCATCAGTGACTTTATTTCTTCCCCTTGTTCTCTTTGTGCTTTCGCTCTTTATCCTGCTGGCCAACAAGCATTCATGAAGTGCCTGTTATCTGCCTCTCTCCTAACACTGGGGCTGAAAAGGTGGAGACCATGTGGGTTAACATGGTAGTAACTCCAGCAGAGTGCTCTGCCTCTTACAGTAACAGTAAGGTTACTGTCGGTTTTTTTTTTTTTTTAACCTTTCATTTAGGAATGAAACAGTAAGGTTACTGTCGTTTTTTTTTTTAACCTTTCATTTAGGAATTGAAGATTTTCTACTTCTGTTGGACAATGTGTAGTGATAGGGAATTTGTTCTCTGTCTCAGTCTTTCTTGAATATGTGTCATTAATTTGTAGCTAGGAGTTCTTCACGCTAATCAGGTATTCTCAGTGTAGCTATGAAATCGATTAGGTCTTTAAAAAATAAAATAAAGAGTAGATAATGTTTAAGTGGGTCTTGGTGGTGACCTACTTCATAGTTCTGAGAAAAATCACTTTGGATATGAAGGGATTTTACCTGAACAGAAGGGAAGTGATATTTATTAAATACATGTGATGTCCTAGGCATTTATGAAAGGCAGTTTATGTACATTAGTGTATATAATTCTCATAATAACCTACAAAGTAGGTAGCATCTTCATTTTACTTTGCACTTACAACACCTTTCTAATTTATAGCTTAATGGTTCATACTAACTTACTGTGGCATATAAGCTAATTATAGTGGGTCAGGGACTTGAACTAGGTCCCCCTAATGTTAAAGCTAAAAAGTGCCCTTTTTGCCATATCATACTTTTGGCTGTTACATGTAGCTTACACAATTTTTCATATTTTTGTAATTTAGTGTCTAGTGACATGTTTGTAGGGTTGATTATTGACAAAACACTTTCGATTTACAGTGGAATGCTTTTACAGTTCAGAGCTCAGAAATGTTGTTACACTGATGGCATAGTAATAAATTACTTCTCCAAGGAACCCTGTGTTATATGGTATCATTAAAAAGCGTGAAATTTTCCAAGATCACTCTTTCGAAAGTAAATAGAAAACCAGTAAGATAAAGAAGTACCTCTTTTGAAACAGAAGTAAGAAAGGGATAAGACTTCCTGGTCTTATGTGGGTACATGGATCCTCATTTCTAGTTAGAGCCAAGTTTGTTGTAAATTATACTATTTCTAGTGCTGCATCCAGGAAGTAACATGGTGGAGTGATGACAGATTTTAGAATTATGATCAAATCAGAAAGAGTTCTGCTCCAGACTAGTTAGGACCTTGAACAGATTACTTAGCCTGTCTGAGCCTGAATTTCTTCACTATGAAATAGAGATAATGACACCTACATCTCAGATATAATAGATTATGTAAACAAAGTCTTATTTATAAAGAGCCTCACTTAGTGTCTTAATATATAATAACTACTTATTATTTTAAAATGTCTTTGTTTTTCTTCTACTAGCTAAGATTATCACACTTTTTCTTTCGAAAGAATATGTTAAGCACAAAAGAACTAGAATCACATCTTAATCTCTCTTACTATCTCCTGTGATGCCTGATGTGTAGTAGTCATTTAAGTAGTGAATTCATTTACTCCTTTGACCAGCATTGATGGAGTTCATAGTCTGTGTGCAGTACAAGGTTTCTGCCTAAAGACCTTACTGCCTAGTGTAATGAGATAAATATGCAAATGATTTTAATAAAAGGCAACATGTAATGCATGCTAAAAAGTTTTTTCTTTTTTCACATAATGAGCGCCTTTTTTTTAAAAAAATTATTTACTCATGCAAGAATTGGGGTGCAGGCCATAGGTGTTTGTGGAGTGAGAGGATTCACCAGAGACAGTGGGGAACAGAACAGGCAAATTGAGGAGAGCAGCAGATGAGACAAGAGAGGTCTGTTATGCCATGTGGGTCAGCTCCCTGGCTGGTGATGGAACTTGTGCTGCAGTAGATGCCAGTAGCTTCTAGCTTCATAGTGCTATGGCTTAACCCCTTGAGCCAAAAGGGGCCCCCGAGAAAGGGGCTTAAAGAAAAGATTTTAGCATTTAGTTTGAAATAAAGGGTTGATTTCAGGCCCTGTGATCAGAGAAGAAGAGGCATTTGAGGTAGCTCTTGAAGAATGAATAAGATTTTGTCAGGCAGCACAGGGAGGATTGGTATTCCAGGCAGAAGAAGAATAATGACCGACCTGAGGAAATGCCTCTAAGAGGGAAAAGCTTCTGATCACTTAATCTCCCCAGGTATCACATTCTCTGTTTTTGCCCTGTTTAAATCCAGTGTCCTCATCCCGTCTCTAACCAGCCACAACTTGTTAACCACTTTTTTCCTACAAAATCTATTTATTTTATTCCTTTAACTCAAAAATATTAGTAAGGTCATCTCATAGGTGAATCTGCAAATGGAAAGGGGCTAAAGGCAGGTTCTAAAGCATAGTCTTTAGAAGGAGCACTTAGGATTCACCATAATATAATGATTTGTTTACATGTCTCCTGCTCCTAAACTAAAAGTTCCTAAGGGAAAAGGGTCATGTCTTACTATTTTTGTATACTTACTCTGATCATCGGGACTACCACTGGTGCTTGCCACTTACTGATTGTATTTAGAAAAAGATTAATCTATGTATGCTAGGTAGGTTGGATGAGGAAAATTGAAGGCAAGGGGACCAGTGACGGGGTTATTGCTGTTTAGGTGAAATCCAATAAAACCTAAGCTGGCATGATCACACTGAAAACAGAAAGGGAGACGTGGTAAGTGACACGTTTGTTGTGTTAGGTGGGAGGTGTGTTTTGGCTGGTAACATGAGTAACCACAGAATATTAGATTTTATTATAATGAGGGTTTGTTTAAGGTACAACTCACAGCCACTTGAAACTCAGCTCTGCAAATAAAGATCTGAAAGCCATGGAGTTTGTGACTTGCTCAGGTTAAGTTCTTAAACTTTTTTGTGCTGTTTTTTTTTCCTGTTTTATTTGTTACTTTTTAAAATTATAGTGGTGAGAATACTTAATCTGAAATCTATCCTCCTAATAATTTTTAAGTGTATAGTTTAGCATCATTGATGACATAATGAATGCTTGAAGAGCTTCTGGGGTGCTGATGATGTTCTGTTGCTTGATCTGACTGTGGTTAGGTGGGTATGCTCAAGTTGTGAAAATCAATCAGGTTGTTCTTAACACTTTTCTGTGTTTATATTATATTGGGTTGTCAGAAAAGTCATGATACATTTTTTGCTTGAGAAACAAAAGAATATGTCATGACTTTTCTGACAACCTAATAATTGGACAAAAGTTTGGAAAATTCATAAAAAGTGCTATGGGATTGTGAGCTGAAAAGAGTGATTCTGGCTTCTTCAAAGAAGAAGACTTGCTAGAAGGAGAGATGGAAACTGTGAACTTTGAGATGTTTGGGTATATAGAAGGGTGAAGTGGGAGCAGAGCAGAGCAGAGCGGGAACTGCCAAAGCAAAACACTGAACATCTGGAGAAGGTAAAGTAATTTGATTTAGCTAGAGCATGGAAATCAGTTAAATACAAGGCTAGGACGGGGGAGGGAAGAGCACAAGGGGGCTGTGTGATGGCTCATGGTAGTAGGAAAGTTAGGGGGACTATACCTGAGGGGAGAAATCAAATAGTGTACAAAAATGAACAATGATGTGAGGGAATTTAAGGGAAAAAAAAGATAAGTCTAGAAAAGTAGATTAGAGACAACCTGTGAAAGGCTTTGGATACCTGGGGAAGGACTCTGGACTTGATATTCTGGGAAGTCTTGAAGGTCTTTTAAGCCAGGAATGGCCTTGTAAGGGTGGGGGGAGGGACGGGGGTGTGCTAGCAGGTGAGTGGATCTTCATCTTTGTGAAAGGGTGAGATGACATGTAGTCATTCATAATTATTAACTCAAATTTTCTAAATGAAAAACTATTTCAAGTCATTGCCTTTTTTCCCCTCCTGTCTTTATGTCCCATGCTTTTCCTTCTTTCTCTCTTCTGTCAAAGCCAAAGTAAAAGTCAACATACGTTACCTGGTATCTCTGGCACATCTCCTAAGGGGTCTAAAGTCAGTATCTTTTTTGTTAAAGGCAAGAAGAGAGGCGGAGGCGGTCGTTCCAGGATTACACTGGACAGAAGATCACCCTTGAAGCTGTCCTGAACACGACCTGCAAGAAATGTGGCTGTAAAGGTGAGGGGACGCCTCTGCCATGTCAGACGTGCTCTCCTGTGGACAGACCCCTAACTGGAGGAGAGAGGCAGCCTAGTCCGAGTGTCGCTAACCCTGTTTTCTAGCCCTGTGACGGCCGTACCTGCTCTTGCTGTTAGTCCTGTTGGCTCACACCACCAGTCGTGCTACGCTTTTCTGTTTCCTTTTCTGAAGCTGGCCCTGCCAGGTCTACACCACCACTACCGCCGCCACCACCTCACCCCACTCTTCCCCAGCTGATGCCCTCCCTGGGCAGCGTTCCTGGTATTATGCTAGAGGGTAAGAGTGTTAGAGAGTGTGATAACACTCTCAATTTTTGTTTCCAAGGACTTATTTCTCTGCTACAAAATTGAGCACCTTGGAATGCTCCTGCCCTCTTATCGCTATGCAGGCGCCTCTTTTTCTGTCTCCTTTGTCTAATAAACCTGTCCTTTTGAAATGAGGAGGTGGAAATTAAGTAACCTGGGTATATATTCCTTAAGGATACAAGTCAGCCTCTTATCGTTTAACTTCAGAGTTCTGGATACAGTATCCTTTTTTGTAATAAAGAACACAGGCAAGTCACTTTCGTAAGCTCCCTTTCCTCGGGTTTCCTCTCATCTTACTCAGATATTAAAGAACGCTTTCAGCCTGACTTCCCGTGTTGGTGCTATCGTGGGAGGGGTAGCTAGCTTCTCACTTTCAGAGTGACCTCAATTTGTCACTCTTTGCTAGTCTTCAGTCTACCAAGGTGTCTTGATTTTGCTACAAATGGTGGCACATTTGTGTCCTGACTGAGATTGTGGGGCAGATTTAAGCCCCTATTTAATCATTAGTGTAGAGGGAGAAAGGGAAACGTAAACGAGAGAATACCACCTCATGGGGAACTGTGTGAACATTCTAAATATTTGGAGAGCAATGCAATATTCCCCATCCAGCTTCTGGATTCAGAGTTGATAGCACTTCACACGTGACCTTGATGATCTCATCAAACCTTCTGTAACCCTGAAAGAGGCACTATAACAAGCTCAGACAAAACCAGCTCTGTAACATCTGCAAGCGTAGTGGGATCTTCTTACCTTCAACTTGCATCCACCAGGTGTTACATGAGGCAGAGAATGATGATGATGGAATTTGACCTAGTCAGCAAAGGTCAGGCCGGAGGTGGTTGGCTCTGCTGTGTCAGAGAGATAAAGGACAGGGAGGCATGAGATCCAGGGTAATTTTAGTTTGTTGTTATCTGTGTGATCTTGAGCTACTTTTCTACTTTAATATATCCTAGTTTTTGCAGTGCACTGTTGGATTTCATGATCTCTAAGATCCTAGCCAGGCCCGGCAATCTGAATATTGGTTACCCCTCAATACAGGTGATTGTGCTTGTTTGTGTTAGCGTGATATAAGAGCTGTCTTCCTAAGAACTGCCTTCCCGTAGGGCTTGGCCTGACGCTTATTTCCTCTACTCAGCATGCTGCTCTCTGGAGTAGCCTTTCATTGTAGGAGTAAGTTCCAAATAGATTTTTTAAAATGATTAAGCTCTGTTGCTAGGAGAAGGCAACACAAACTTTCACCCTCACTTCCTCTTCCCTTTCCCAAGCAGTATTGGTGTTTCCCACAGTTTTAGGACTAATTCCATTCTAATTGCTTGAGCAATGCTGCCTTGAAGTGACAGAAAATCTGCTCTGAATCCAACAGCTGCTCTGAATGAACTCAGTCATTCCTCCCAGACCAGCTAGCCCTTTTCAAGAGCCTCTGGGGAAGATTACCCAGCTGAGAGGAAAGACTACTTCTTTCTCCACTTTTCTACTTCTCTTCTGCAGGCCACTTTGCAAAGGATTGTTTCATGCAGCCAGGTGGAACCAAATACTCCCTGATACCTGATGAGGATGAGGAGAAGGAAGAGGCAAAACCATCAGATAAGCCTGACCCCACCAGGAATTCTTCTGGGAAAAGAAAGAAGGTAAGTGCCATTTACACTGTATTTATCATATGGGATGGTCTTTTTTTTTTTTGAGTTTAAAAATGTAAATGTCTTTTTGCAGAAATTTTTGAAATGCTATCTTTTTTTTTTTTTTTAATTACAGTTTTCAACATGCAAGTCCTTTTGCCTGATTGGTAAACTTTATTCCCAAGTGTTTTATAAATGGAGTTATTTTCTTTTCTTTTTAAGATTTATTTACTTATAAATAAAGGTCTGCTGAGGGAAGCAGCAGGTGAGGGAGGAGAGGTCTGCTGAGCCATGTGGCTCACCTTTCTGGCCAGGGATCGAACTCAAGCTGTGATATCTTCGTAGTGCTGTGCTGTAACCTGTTGTGCCACCACATGGACTTTTTTATTTTGTTTTGTTTTTTTAAAGATTTATTTATGCATACAGAACTGGAGTATAGGCCAGAGGTGTAGGGACAGTGAGAGGATTCACCAGGGACAGAATGAGAAGCAGAACAGGCAGATTGGCGAAATACACTGGTGAGAGGAGCAGTGGGGAGACAGGAGAGGTCTGCCGTGCCATGTATGTCACCTCCCTGCCCAGGCATCAAACATTCCTGAAGTGGCTGCCTCTAGCTTTATATGCTGTGCTTTAACCCATTCTGCTGGCAGGGAGGGCCTCTGGAATTATTTTAATTGTCTTTTCAGATTACTCATTGTTAGTATATAGAAATAGAATTTATTTTTATGTTGACTTTTTATCCTTCAACTCTGAATCATTATTTCTAGCAATTATATTGTGGCATATTTAGGGTTTTCTATCTCTAAGATCATGGCTACAAACAGGAAATTTTAATTCTTTATTAGAGCTAGATTTTTAACTGATTTCATTTGTCCCAAGAATTTTTCTTCTCTTATAACCTTTCAGGGAATAAATGGTATTTGTTTGACCCCAGAGCTGTTTTGTGGCTATCTCATTTCCATGGCCCTTTGGTTAAGTTGTTTTCACATTGCTTACTACAACTGGTGCAATTATTGTTCTGTTCCTGAAGCTGCTTTGAGATGTGTATTTCAGTTCACAAAACAGTAATGACGGATCTGTTATGTATGAGGCTCTTTATGCCCTGCGTAGTCTCCATCACTGTTCTCTTAGTAGAGGAGTGGTCTGATGAGCAGTGGCAGTAATAATCATCTTACCTTAGTATATTTAAAAGTACTTCTGTGTATATGAACTCCTATTTCATGAATTCATGAATTCTCGATGATTAAAAAATGCTCTAGGGACCTAAAAATATTAAAGCTTCCCTTGAAGCCCACTGTTTCTACCAGGTTGTTGTCTAGCATCATGATCTCTTCACCTCAGTGTTAATCCCTTCATTATCTTCTGTGCCTTATATTTGTCTGATATTTAACAATTTACAGAGTACCCTAAAATTTTTTCCTATAATATCAATAAAACATTAAAGTTGTTTATAGTATTTACTATGTATTTCCTTTTAAATTATTAAAAAATTACTACACATAATACTCTTATGCCTGGGATGTTAGCAGAGTATTATTTTTTTTAAAGATTTATTTATTTATGCTTACAGAACTGGGATACAGGTCAGAGGTGCAGGGGCAGTGAGAGGATTCACTAGAGACAGAGCAGGGAGCAGAACAGGCAAATCTACAGAGTACACTGCTGAGGGGAGCAGCAGACAATGCAGGAGAGGTCTGCTGCGCCATGTGGGTCAGCTCCCTGGCCAGGGATCAAACTCCCACTGAAGCGGCTGTGGCCAGCCTGCAGTGCTGTGTCTGTTAACCTGTTGCATCACCAGAGAGGGCCCAATTTTTTAAAAGATTTATTTATTATGCATAAAGACCTGGGGTACAGGCCAGAGGTGCAGGGGGGATGAGAGGGTTCACTAGAGACAGAATAGAGATCAGAACAGGTAGACTGACTGAAATATACTGCTGAGGGGAGTAGCAGGAGGGTCAGGAGAAGTTTGCTACACCATGTGGGTCACCTCTGGGACTGGGGATCAAACTCGTGCTGCAGTGGTTTCATAGTGCTGTGGTTACCATTGTGCCACCAGGGAAGGCCAGCAGAGTTAAGTTCTTATCCCACCATTTTACAGTTGAAGAAAATAGAGATTAAGAGAAATTGATTCATTTGAAGTCATATTACTATGAGATAAGGTGAAAAACCCAGGTCTTGAGATTAATAACCCAGTAATCATTTCCATATGCCACACTTCATTTACTCTTCAGTTATATTTGTTTACTGAACAGATGTGTATTGAGCGCCTCATATTTGTCTAGCATGTGTTGGGTGCTTGACAGGTCTATAAAGTCACATTTTGTCTTCACCAACTACCCTTAGCAATCATTTAATGCTATCATTTGATCTGTTTCTGTTCACAACTATAAATCAATATTCCAGACCTCAAGACGTTTTTCTCTCAGTCTTTGATTCCAACTGAAATTTGGTTTTCTTTATCAGTAAAATCTTAGGTCTAATTGATGTTTTTGGAGTGTGTGAGAATGGCAGCTTTGGACACATGTTCCAGCACCGGTTAGTTCTGGGAGCCAAATAAGAAACTAAGTACAACTGACTCTTGAGAACAACACAGTTTTGAACTGTGCAGGTGCACTTACATACGGATTTTCTTGTAAACAGATGGTGTAAACTTATGACCCTGACACATACAGTACAATACTGTAGATATTTTTTAATGGTTTTCCTGACATTGTTTTTCTCTAGCTTACTTTATTATAAGAACATAATACATATAACTTAGAAAATGTGTTAATTGACTTAATGTCAATGAAATTGACTTAATGACAAAACTTTTGCTCTAGCAGGCTACTGGTAGTTGTTTTTGGGGAATCAAAAATTATGCACTGATTTTCAACTAAGTGTGGGTCTGGCACCCATAACTCCCTAATTGTTCAAAAGTCAACTGTATATTCACCTGAAGAGAATGTTTTCAGCAGTCCTTGTTGCCAAATAGGTCAGTGGATAGCAGGAATATGTGGTACGTGATGGGTACTCACATGAAATAAAGATCATGCATAGCATCTCCACTCGAGCAGCTACCGTTATATAAGAAGAGCCGAGTCTGTTTGGTGACAAAGGATATTCACTTGCTCCAAGAGGATTATTGGTTCTAATAGAAATCAAACAACAGAAAATGAAGTATGACTGAGTCATTAGAACCAGAGCTGGAAAATCAGAAGCATGCTACTGGGTTTTCATCTTTGCTCCTTTACAAACTTCACAAGTTTGCCTCATTGTCGTACTTCTTGTCACATTCTGATGGAAGACAATATAATAATGATACATATATATAATATATATAATAAGAGAATATCTAATGTAAAGCCTCTAAGAGGAGAAGATATAAGGCATGTTAGGGAAAATCAGGAAGTGGCCCAGGATAAAGAAGTCATTTGTTCCAAATAACACTGAGCACGTGTAATAGGTGTATGCACTAGCTACCTTGAATAGATAGACTCCATGATGTCTGCTGCCGATAGCTTCTCAGGTTCATTTGTTGAGACCTACCTTCAGTTTGAAAAGTAATAGGGACTGACCCCTGATGCTGCTGGCAGGTAATAGTGAATGAAAAAGGGACAGGAATTAGAGATCTTCCTAATTCTGTGTACCCACCCCCAACTCTTTTTATCCAACTTTTATATACTAAATATAGTCTGTCCAAATCTAATGTGCATTGACTTGGTTCCATGATAATTTTTGTCCTAGTATTTGAAAATTGTAATTAGGCGTAATTAGAACAAGAGGAAATTGTGTTACAAAATGGAAATAGGTGGTTGGTAAAATAGGAGTAGAAGGTTTTGTTGTGAAGCCCTGATAATTTTCCATGAACCTGTGGACTGTTCTTTGCTCACCTCTTTTATTTAATCATGTTGTCGTATGGGTTTTTCTGAATCATTGCTATATTATGAAGAAACATGTGTCTCAGGGATCAGAGACAGAATAGTAACAGTGGCAGAGCCTGAACTCAAGTCTGGGTCTAAACAGGCTGGTGTTTGACAACAACCAGGGGTCCTTGAAGGCTCACAATCCCTGATTTCTGACCTAACAACTATGATGAGACAAATTAATGGATGGCTATTCCTGGCTCTTCAAATGCACTTAGTAAATATTCATTAAATGAATGTACTGTGGTTACAGTACCTTTTTCTGATGAGTTGGCTCAGATTTAGTTCCAGGCTCCACTACCAAGTATGTTTAGTTTGCATCTCCTACTACTGCTTTGTACGAGTACATCTTCTCTTTCAATCCTATTAAAAATCTGTGCAGTATCTTTATCTCATAAGCAGTGCTATATGTAGCTAGGACTCACTGAAGTGCAGTGTAGGTGGTAAAATTCAGTAAGTATTTGTGAGTTAATTAATTAAATCTTTTCCTTCTGGCTTATAACCATTTCTAAGCTTTGGTAAACTGGTTCCTTATAGGCATATTTTAGCCAGGAGTCACTTTAATCCTCCTTCCCAGAAGCTCACCTTGAGAATCAAATCATGTCTTTAGAATCAGTCATTTCTCAAGAATAAAAGAATGATTTCTCAAGAATAAGGAAAGAAGAATAAGTGCTTGCTTGTTTGATTTGTCACCAAATCAGTCCCTATTGTTTGGGAAGTGCTAAATTAGATGCTGTTGTTAATATAGACAGGGCTAAGAAGAATATCCTCTTTGGGACCCAGCCTGAGTCAAATCCAAATTTTATCACTTGGGCATGTCACTTCATCTCAGTCAACCTCTCTGAAGTTAAAATTTTTTTTCCTGGGGCCCTCTCTAGTGGCGCAAGGGGTTAAGTCGAAGCACTATAAAGCTAGTATAGCCACTACATCATAGGTTAGACCCCTGGCCAGGGAGGTGGCCCATGTGGAGTGGCAGACCTCTCGCCCGCTGCTCCCCTCAGCAGTGTATTTCAGTAGATCAGCCTGTTCTGTTCCCCAGTGTGTCGATGATGAATCTTTTCACACCTCCCCCATATTTCTGACCTGTACCCTAGTTCTTGTATGCATAAATAAATCTTTAAAAAAATACCTTTCCTCAAAATACAGGGATAATTGTAGCCATTTAATAGATTTGATTGCAATTTGATTTTAGATTTGGTATGTGTGCTCAGCCTAGCACCTAGAAAAAATATATATATATATATTTTAAGATTTATTTATTTATGTATACAGAACTGGGGTACGGGCCCGAGGTGCAGGGGCGGTGAGAGGATTCACCAGAGACAGAGTGGGGAGCAGAACAGGCAGATTGACAAAGTACACTGCTGAGGGGAGCTGTGGGCGAGACAGGAGACACATGCTGGGCCATGTGGGTCACCTCTGGGGCCAGGGATCAAATTTGCACTGAAGTGGCTGTGGTTAGCTTGCACTGCTGCACTTTAACCCACTGCGCCACCAGGGAGGGCCTAGAAAATAAATATTAAGAAATTAAGCTGCTATTATTCCCTTAGCTTTTGTTTTTCTCATACACTGGGCTTCTGCTAATCTGATTCAGAACTATAGACATGATGGGGTGCTGGCTGCTATAGTAGGGGGTATCTGGCTTATTGCCCTGCCTTCCATGGGCTCACACCCTTGAGCCATCTTCTTGGTCAGTTATCTTGTTTCATAACCCTTGAATGCTGTTTGGGGATCAGTAGCCAGTTTTCTCACTGGCTCACCATCTTCTCTCTTGCCCCAGTTCCCGGCTTTCTTCTTGAAATACAATTTGTGAAGTGATTTTTTTCTTTGTTCTCTAGCTCAGGGTTAGACACATGGTGAAAATGATGCCACCTGCTGGAAAACTAGATTTTCTTTGTTCACGTTGTAAAAGAGCTTGTGCCTGAGATTGGGGTCTGGAGTTCAAGTACCAGCATGCCAGAGTTCTATAGTGATGTCTTTTTCTCTTTCCTCCTCCTGAGCCTGCATCTTTGAGTGAGCTAAGTGAAAAAGTGTCAGAATCCAAACTAGAAAATGCAACATTCTTGTCACTTGAGCCTTGGTCAATTCACTTTACTTCTCTGAGTTGCAATTATCTGTGAAGCAAATGCAAATAATTTCTTAATTTTGACATACCAGATTATTATTATAAGGTAAGGGAACAGAGATCTGGAAAAATTAAAGTGCTACTTGATATAACTAAATATTATCACTCTCCTTCATTTATCTAGGCTGGGCCAGGCTTGAGGGAAATAGTACAGACTTTACATTTGTTTATTTACTTTCCCAGGACCCTACCCTACCTAAGGAGCAGGACCTCTGAGGCGCCCAAGCCCAAATATTCTGTGGTGGGCTCTCATGAGCTTGCCATCAGGAAGGTACCACACCATAAGCCAAACCAGTGATTTGCTAGTCCTCAGCTCCTCCCAGACATGGTTCCTGTAGCCTTCGTAATAAGGATCTGGGAAGCTTTGTTCCTCTCTCTCTCTCTTTCTTTGAAGACTCCAAAAAGAGTGTTGGTTTAATCTTGTCTCAAAACTTTGATTCATATAATATATTTAGCTGAACTGTCAGAACATTCTGGGAGTTCCCAGAATAAGAGAATACCACTGGCTACCCCTGTACCTACCATGTATCAGGTGCTGCAGTTACCACTTAACTTGTTTAAAGCCTTATACCATCCTTTGAAGTAGGTATTTATTATTTACAATTTATTGTAAAGAAAACTGAGGTTCATTAAGTTAACTTTCTTATTCCAAATCACATAATTAGTAAGTGATAGTACAGATGGAATTTGAATATAGTTCTATCCTATTCCATATTTGTTGCTCTGATTACCCTATCATGAAACTTGCCATCATCTTTACAGGAAGAGGGGCCATGTGCTACAGAGAAAAACTCAGGAAATTTCCAGTCTTATAATCTACATGCAGATCTCAATCCTGCCTGTAAGATCTGGGGCAAGTGGCTTTCAACTTCAGCCAGATACTATCTCACTAAATCTTCACCACAGACATGTAATATAAGGGCTGTCATTATCTGTTTAATATTTGAGGAAAAGACCTCAGTGAGGTGAACTGACTTACACCCAAGGACACGGAATAGTAATAGTAAGTGGCAGAGCCAGAACTCAAGTCTAGGTCTAACAGCTGATCTGGCGTTTGACACCATTTCTCACAGCGACTCCTAAGGCAGACAGACTTACAGCTCTCAGACGCTGCTTGCACCCTGTAGGAGGGGCAGGAGCTTTGCCTTCTCAGTTCTTTCTCCTTCTGTGATCTTTCCTCCTTCTTAGAAACCTGACTGAAGCAATGTAAATATATGAAATTCAAGAAAAAGTGTTATGCAAGGCTTTAAAACTGGTTAGAGCATTCCATAGAGGCCTGGGAACTGCTTCCCATTCTTTGTAACAGATACTTGTTTAAAAAAAAAACTGAACAGAATTTATATGACTAAAAAGTGAAAGACCTCTGTCCTTTCTTCCCATTCAGTTCATTCCAAGGTAATACTTGTTGCTGTTGTGTGTCTTTTCCACTATTTTCTCTATGCTTTAATAAGGATACATGCACACACACACACATACATGTATATATATGCACATACATTATATGGCATGTATGCATGTATGGTGTATATATAAATATACATATAGTTATAATGTAAATACACTGGAATCTAGAATATATATGGTATTGTCTTTTTTTTTTTTTTAAGATTTATTTATTTATGCATACTGGGGTAGGGTACAGGCCAGAGGATTCACCAGAGACAGAGTGGGGAGCAGAACAGGCAGAATGACTGAAATACACTGTTGAAGGGAGCAGCAGGCAAGATAGGAGAGGTCTGCTATACCATGTGGTCACCTCCCTGACCAGGGATCAAACTCGTGCTATAATGGCTGCTGAAAGCCTCATAGTGCCGCACTTTTAATTGTAACCTGTTGCACCATCAGGGAATCTTTTACTTAATTTGATTTGGGCTTTTTTTGGTCAGTATTGGAAGATTTCATTTTTTCTTCTAATGCTTTATGATGTCTCACATGGTCCCCTAGTGATCACATGCCATTTCAGAAGTAAATATAGCTATATAATATTGAGTCTTTTTTTTTTTTTTTTTTTCAGGAAAAAAAGAAAAAGAAACACAAAGACAGGAAGTCATCTGAGTCTGACAGTTCAGACTGTGAGAGTGATACAGGCAAGAGGGCGAGGCACACATCAAAAGACAGCAAGGCAGCAAAGAAGAAGAAAAAGAAGAAGAAGCACAAGAAGAAGCACAAGGAGTGAGAGTGCCAAGAGCAGAGGGGTGGTGAGAGGAGGAGCCAGGACATTTGTGCCTTGAAGCCCTGGCTCCTGGAGAGACTCGATAGTAGATTGTAGCCTCGCACCCATGACCTTCCTCCCATGACGTGGCTTCCTTCACATAGCTGGCAGGTGTGGGAATTAGATGCCAAAGGCATCTGTGTGAAAGAGCTGTGTCCTTATCGCTTCCTGTCCCTTTGCAAGTGACTCCTGCAGCTCATCCATCCATTCATCCAACGTCCTTATTCAGCAGGAGGTCCTATTACCCTCTCCAGCTGCCACTGCCAGAGCCAGATTCCTGTACAGACTCTTGTATAGGAGTCCAGGCTGGAGCACAGGTACTGCTGTGGAGGTGTGTGTGGCTATAGGTGGAGAGCGGAGTGATCAGCCCCTCCCTGTTGGCCTGCCCTGGGGTGATTGGTGAGTGGCCGCCGCTGGCAGAGGCTGGAAGGGGAACATGGTAAGAAGTGGTGTTCACTCTTTCCAATTCCCTAATGATTCTGTCCTAGAAATGATAGCCAGCGGTCACAGCCAGAAAACCATTGTTTGCGGTGACTGAGCTTGTGTGTGACATTCTGCTTGACAACTCAAGCCAAAAGCATTGCTTTACTTTGTATTAACTACTGTGTCAGTCTGTTGGTTCCACTTCAGGTGTCTGCTTACATTCCTCACACTAAATGGAAATGTGTTTGGTTCTAAACTTACTGAAAGTTTTTATTACTATAATCCTTGGATTATTTACAGACTAATGATCACTGAGTTTAAGTCTTAGTTGCCTTGGAGAGAGACCCAACTGGGGTACAGAGTCAGAGGCATTAACAAGTCATAGCTTCCATGGGAAGCCACCCATAAACCCTTTCTTGGCAGTGATCAGGTGACCTCCCCCTCCAGTAAGAATTTATAACCATGAGCAGTGATCTGGGGCATAGGTGGGATTTTTGGCCAGTGGTCATTTTTCTTCTATCACCAAAGCCCAGCCCAGATCCTGTGTTCCCCGTGTGCATTCCACACCAAAGAATGATTAACCACACCCAGGAGACTCAGTGGAGATGGACCTGAAGTGACAGCTCAGGGGACATGGGGTTAGGGTTAGGGTTAGGAGCCTGGGGAAGGCCTGCACTGATTGATCCACACTGGCCTTACTTGTTTGGATCATGGGAAGGGGCAAAGTGTAGGAACAGCTCTTTTACTATTGAACCTGTGAGCTGGTCAGCTAAGTGCCTCTTGTCTGTGACACTGTCCATTTCAGTACTTCTTCCTTAGTGACCTTTAGGCAGGTCATTTCTGAACACTTTCTACCACAGAGAAACCAAAACTCCCAGAGTTGTGTCACCAAAGGCAAAAAGGCAACTGGCTGGCCTTGGCTTTGTTTATTGACCTCAGAACACCCTTTGGGTGCAGTTTAAAAAAAAAAAAAAACAAACATACATAATAGGAACTGGAACTAGATCCATGCTGGTGGCAACTGACCCCAGAAGAATGCTCCAGTATAAATTGAGGTGGATTTATACAAAATGCCAGAATTAAAAAGGCAGTCTGAGTCCAGCGGTAGCCAATTGGCAGAGTGACTGTCAGTGAAGGCGCCAGCAGGTCATTCCTCTTTCTCGTACGTGCGAACACTGACTGCACTGCCATGGGTGAGTGTCTGAAAGGAAAGACAGACAGGTTAGGGGGAGAGAAAGGTGCTCAGCGCTCATTCCAGGGCGGAGCCCCTTCCTTTATCCTAGTCCCCTTCATTTCTTGACCACTGACTATGTGCCAGGCATTTTACTTGTTTTCTTTTTTAATACTTACACCCAGATCGGCATTGTATTTCTTCTTTGAGAGATTTGGGAAAATGAGCTTGAAATAGCCCAGATTGTTTGTTTCCTATACATCATTCCTCTCACTTCATTTCAGTGCATATACCCAAGAGTCTAGCGATTCTTGGAGAGGGTCTTTGCCAGTTCACCAACTCTATTCTTCCCTAACTTAGGACAGTGCCAGGACCCTTTCCTTCTAGTGCCACTACAGTCCTGTTTACCCAATGAGTCTCTCATCCTGCATATCACGTTCCCATTGAAGCTTCCGCAGGGGCCCCTGCCCTGTGTGAGTGCAGCGATGTGGATGTATGAGATACACAGATTGTACTAATCCAGAAAGATCTGCAGTAAAGACACAGAGGCAAAAGCTGGAGGCGCAGCTGCAGAGTTAGGAGGCGCAGGCCATGGCTGCTGTCCCTGCCTGGGTCTGGGAGTGTTCCATCAGGGCTACATTTCCAAGTGAGGTCCCCATGTTTGTCCCTAAACAGACAGATCTGCCAGCTTGACTGCCACTTCCTATCCAAGTTTTTGTCAGGCACTTGCAGAAGGCCAGACATGGAAAGCACTAAGAGCAGGTGGAGCTCAAATGAAATAGAAACGACTTCGCTGTCATAAGGTCCCTCACCAGTCCACAGAAAATTCTTATTGGATGCCACCCAACCCTGCCTCTGCCCTCTGAACTCCCAGCTTCCATTGCTTCATGAGTGCTTGTAGCAGGCTTGGTTGAAGTAGTAACCAAATTCGGTGCGTGTCCAGTGTTGCCCATCTTACCAGAATGAGTTTTCCATTAGACAGCTCCCGCACAAGTGTTGTCTCTTGCCCGTCCCACTTCTGTACCTGCACAAGTTTGCCTCCATCCAGTGTCACAATGGTCTGTGGAGAGAAGGTAGAGGTCTGAGCTGCCATCTGAGCTAGGATTGAGGAACAGGATGGGATCTGGTCACTGGGTCATGGAGGACTCAGATTCTGACCCAAACTAAGGATTGTGCTAGGACCAGAGCTCAGGCAGCCCACCTAGCCTCTGCCCCACTACTGCCTGCTGAGGGAGGCCAAGTCAGGAGAGGCAGGCAGCCTGACTTTGAGAAGTGCCACAGCCTTCACAGGGGCACTTAACCTGTACTCTAGGTGATGTCCATAGCCACAGACCCACTAAGATACGGGTGGCATGTACTGGCCTATATTCCTGAGAAAGACTGGAGAGAAGAAGTCTCTGGCCTACACAAATAATATCCAAAAGGCCCGTGGGGGTGGGAGATACTGGAAAATACGACTTCATGTCCACCCTGTATTCCTGTCTTCTCGGTCCATATCATGTGGCTCATTCAGGTGACAAGTAGGTGACAACTGCTAGGTCCTGGGGCTGGATGCCCTTGGAGTGTTCCACAGCCCTGTTCAAATGCCCACTTAAGTCTTTTGAGCACTGCCAGCCTGCATCAGCTAGTTCTCATCTGGCAGCTCTCCCAGATCTCTCTTCTCTAGGAATTTGGGGGCTTTAGGCCAGGCTAGCAGACCCTGACTGAGCAGAGTTGAGTAGGAAAATTTGAGAAAGTTGGGTGTCCAAACTGTCTGTGTTTGGAGCCAGAAGGCCCCATTCTATACCTCATGCTAGTTTTTAGGTTAGGCAGCTAAGCTAAAATTGAGGTTTTTGCCCTGAATTTGAGCTAGTGCAAGGTAGAGCCATGGGAGGACAGCCACTTCTGTCCTGGTAGGCTGCCGTCTTTGGCTGCCATCCCAGCTCCGTTCTCAGCTTCCTGTGTGATCCTGGCTTGGGCTTCAGCTTCCCCCACGGAGAGGAGAACAGACCCTACCTATCCTTCCTGGGGGCACTCTGAGGAAGAGGGAACAGGGGCTGATTGATGGGGCCTGGTAGGAAGATACGCTCCAAGACCCTTAGCGCTCTCACGCCAGACTAACAGACTGGGCGGCATACTGCCAAGCCAGCCAACACTGGGTGACAGGCTCTCAGACGAGGTGGCTGGCCCCTCCCTTGTGGGGGGTGGGAAGTAAGTCTTGGTAGGAAGACACTATGAACACACCCACAGCAGTACCTCACCCAGAACATAAATCTTCCTGTCCGTGGCCTGGCAGCACTGGAAATTGCTCCTCAGTGTCACTGGCCAAGCCCAGGGGACATAAGTTGAGAAAACAACTGAGTACATCTTGGACATCTCTCCCCACTTACATCTTTGCTGCTTGAGGCCAGGCTGACGGCTCACTCAGTGGAAAGCCACGGCTTCCCTTGGGCATCATTCCTAAAGCACGTGAGGCCACAGGCTGTCCACATAACTCCCCTATCTATGGAAGGAGGAAAACCCTGGAGCTATTACATATCACGCACAAGGTCACCCACCTAGAGCTGGAGCAGACCCCGTGGTCAGAAGCACATCCTGACTTTTTGCTGTCCACCCCCAGAGAGCTGTGAATGCCTCCCCAGGACGGAGGGAAGTAAGCAGCTGGGACATCCCAGCACTGCAGGGCTTTATGGACTTTTTCCTGCCTATCCCTTCAGAGTGCAACAACTGGGTGCCAAGACTGCCAGCCTGTGGCGCCCTCAGGGTCTCCAGTCCTCTGTCCATACCCCTCCCCACCCCCACTCACCTTGACCTTCCTGTCATCTGCTGTCGTCTCATCAAACTCCACCCCGAGCTTGAAGCTGATCTCCGTGTTCTTGAAGGTGCTATGTGTTTTTAGGGTGACAACTTCCCCATTCACTTCAATTATTGTGGTGGGCTTGGTCATGTTGGCCACCTGTCTGGTGGCAAAACCCACACCTGAGGACAGAGAGAAGGTTCAGAGTACATGAGCTGGAGTAGTAAGGCCAGCACCAGGCCATCAGCGAGCCACTCTTAGGCTGAATATGGGGAAGAGGAGCACAAGAACTCTTCAAGGTGACAGTCTTTTATTATTTCTTTCCAGTTTTCCTGTTAGCGCTGTCTTTGAAGAGACGCTATTGACCTTATTAAACAAGTGAGAAACTTCAGCATACCACAGCAAGTCAGTGGCAGAGCTGAGATCAGAATAAGCTAAATATTACTAAGTTCTCTCTGTAAGGTAAAAACTGTGCTGTCGCTTTCCCATCTTCCAGGGAGGTTTGAAGCTGTCATCTCTGACAGATGCAAAATCTGAGCTGGAGTTGAAGCCCAGGGTCCCAGACCTGGGATTCAGGCAGCTGTTCCACTGCAGAGCTCACCCGTAACAGCTTAACTCTACTGTCTCCAAGGTAGGAGCACCTGAGCAGCTGTCACCATGGGCGGCGAAAAGAAGAGAAATGTGGGCTCTGTCTTCTGAAGCCTTAGAGACAGGAATTTTCCACCATTGGAAGTTTTTACCTTTGATATACACTGGTGCTCCTGTCCCCTGTACATGGCAAGACATTTTCACAGCCTCTTAGCTATGGCCTAGCAGGTCGGCAGAAAGGAAGTGTTTGTCTCCATGTATAGATCTGGGAGAGGCCCACAGCACAGTCTCCTGATTCCTAGTTAAAGGCTCACTGGTGACGTCCCTCCTGACCCAAGCATGGCTCCCCTGGGTGCTGGACAAAGCCCCAGTGTCCTGCAAGCATGTGAAACAAAGAGCTTGTAGGTCCTTCCAGCTGTGGCTCCCCTGGGATCTGTCCTTTTGCCTTGAACCTCCTTTGATGACTGCCTTGCCCCGCAGCCCCTAGGGGGCCTCCAGGGCAGACGTGAGGGAGGAGGCTGCCAGTGTGGTGAGATGGTTGGTTGTGTGGTCCCCCAACATGCCGAGCTTGCGGAAGCGGGTACCTAGCACGTGCCCCACATAGTTACACTTAATGCACATGTGGTTCTATTCTCTCCACTTTAAAGAGACTCAGTGAAGTGCCTTGCCCAGAGTCAAAGAGTAAGTGATTGATCTAGATTCGAGTCTAGGCTCCAAAATTTCACTATTCCTGTCATTCTGCCTCCCAGTATGTACGTCAGCCCCGTCCTAAGGCCAGCAGCTGTGCCTGTGATCCCCAGAAGTAACTAAGCTGGATCTTTGCCTCCTGAAAACAGCTGCCTTTGCAGCTGTGCTGCTGCTGGCCCACCTATCTGGCCAGCGAGGGACTTGGCCTCGCTCCCTGACATCAGGGCGAGTCAGGCCAAATCCACTCCCCAGCGCAGAGCAGGGCCTTGTCACTGCAGGAACAGGTTTCCCTGAGAGCTGTGGAGTAAGTGAGAGGCTGAGTGAGAATCTAAGGCTGAAAACTGGGCTGACAGAATTTAGGTGACTCAGGACGAGCTGGGTTCTACTTAGAAATGAAGCTGCAGCTAGTTACTTAGAGGACCCCCTGGGCTTCTCATCCCTTCATTTGCGCAACCATTTGCACCAGGAGAAGAGCAAGCTGGATGGAAGCACAGCCCCCTAGCCCAGGTTGGTGCAGAAGACTGAACACGAGGTCAGTCTACTGCAGCTCATTCAAGAATTCAGCCCTAGTGTCCGCTACTGGAAGCTCATTGGAGGGGCCGACCCTGGGCCTTCTGATTCCCGGAGCAGAGGCCCAGGACCCCGCCCCTCCACGATCAGCTACCTTCCAGGAGGCACTGGCCACTGGCCACGGTGCCCAGAAGGTAGGGGCCCTTGAGCTTTGGCTTCAAGAGCGAACACTTACGGACGCTACTTCAGGAAAGGGTTAGGGACAGGTAAAGAGGTATGGGGAGTAGACCACCCCTTCTTGTGGTATCTGCCATAGTCCAGCCTCCCTTCCCTGAGGAAGGCATGGAGCCTAGCTCACCTGTAGGGAACATTTTGGTTTTCCCAGTCCCAGCCTGGGAGCAAAGATAATGTGTCTGGGGCTTTCGGTATTACCCTCTCTAAGCCCAAACTAGGAGGGGAAGGGCTGGAGTCATTCATTAACGAAGTGTGCCTGCCACTCCCAGTTCCAAGGTTTCCTCGATTAGTGCTGCTGTGGAATGGATGTAACATGTGTCTGCTCTCACTGGGTCTCAGTTTCCCCATCTGTCGCAACAGGTGCTGCTATATACGGTCTCCAGTAACACTAACTCATGTATTAGTCTTTGAATCTTTATTCTTCCTATCCCAAAACCACACCCTTCAAGACCAAAGACCCTGCCTGTGTGTAATAGGCCTTGGCCTTGCCCCAAGTCCTCTGCGGCACCCCACAAGCCCAATAGCTTGAACCCCTCCCCAAAGAGTGGCCGAGCCTTGGGTTGAAAGGCTCACTGTCAGCCAGTAAAGCCTGGTTAAAGTAACCACCGCAGGACAAGGTCAGAGCCTGGCTGGTGAAAAAGAGGGCATCCCAGTCCTTCTCTTAACCCACATGGGAAGGCAGGGATGGTGGGTCCGTCTCACCTCATATCCCACTCACCATTTCCCACTTTCCACTCGCTCTGGGTGGTTTCTTCTTCAAGCTGTAGTACACGCCTGTCTGCACCCATTGCGTGCTCACGGTCTCAACTTCCCGAGCTCCCATTTCCCTCCCCTAGCTTGCCTCCCACCTTCTTCCATCACTGCCCTCCTCTAAGGGAACGCCCCGAGCGTCCCCATCATATAACCCTCTTCAAAAGTGCTCCCGATCCCGGCACCAACAAGAACATCTGCCTTTTTGAGCTCTGCCTGGGAATCCCTCTGGCCAGATACCGACCACCGGAGCGCCCCCCCAGCAGTCCCGAACCCTAGCAAAGACTGCAGCTCAGCGCCCCCAACCCTGGGTCCCCCCACCCTGATCCAGCAGGCGTGCAAGGTACTAGCCACAGTTGGAGCACGGCCCCAAGGTGAGCACGTGGCCACCCCCTCCCCATCACAGCGTTCCGCGCAGCGCTCACCCAGTGACTTCATGTAGTCATCGAAATTCTTGCTGTCCACGAGCTTCCAGGTGCCCACGAAGGCGTCCACCATGGTGAGGCTGTGCTAGACTAGGAAAGAAGGTGACGGGCAGGCGTGCTGGGACTCTCGGACCGGCGGCTCCCAGCCCGCTTTGCAGCTTTAAATAGCCCTTGCATCACATGAGGAGGCGTGGCTCACGTCCTGGGCTCTGGAAATAGGAAGCCCCGGGCGGCACGCACCTACCCGGGGCTGGCCGCCCATCCCCCAACACTCCCTCCCCCCACCCCCTAGGGAAGAGCGGACGTAGGTGTTCAGCTCTAGGCATCCGGGGCCTCGGGGGTCGACCCGGAGCTGGCAGGCCCTGCCCTTTCCCAGCGCTCTTTGCAATCTGAGAATGAAGCTATACGCTCCGTGCCCGCAAAATGGGGTGTACACCACCTACATCTTCGGTTCCTCAGTTTCTCCGGGTCGAGCGGCGAGATGGTGCTAAGGGAAAAGGGAAATACGCCCTTGGGCGGAACGTATTTGATTTTCGCGGCTTTGGCATCTGGTCCTCGCTTGCAGGACTTAAAGGCTCAGAGGGTCACTTGGAACCCCGATTGTACATCTGGTGGAGCGGGCTCCGGAACCCGCGCTCTCCCGCCACTCCCCGCGGCAGGGAGAATCATCTGGGCATGCCGCAGCCGCTGGTGAAAGCCTTGCCCTTCCCGGTGTTAGCCAACCCACTGCCAGCGCAGGTCTGCCTCGCTCACCTCTCCAGAGGACAGAGGACTGGAAAATCTTCAGCAGCCCTCTGATCTTGCAAGTCAACCCCCCACCTGCACCCCCAACCTCCATCCAGGACCCTGCCATTTCTTCAGGTTTCTCTGACCTCTGCACCATTCCAAACTTCGTTTATTACCCCCTCACTGGTCAGCATTCCTGTCCCTCCAGCCAGCTTTTCAAGGGCAGCTCCCCACCTACTGCCTTTCTATCTGACCTCTGCACACCAGCAGGCTGCCTGCACTTTCAGAGACTTGGTCACCTCCTTTAAAAACCCTATTGGGTGTTGGATTGACACTTGACAATGTACTTTTCATGTAATCCACTGTGAATTAATATAATCCACTGTGAATTACTGCATGCATGGGAAGGCTTTAAGTACATTGAACTTTTAAGATAAAACTCATGAAATACGTGATGTCACCCATTTTACAAATGAGCAAGCTGCTGCGTAGAGGACCCCATTTGTTTTTAACCCTCAGTTATAAGGCACCTTCTTTGTGCCAGGCACTGGACTAAGCTCTAGGGTAACACCCATGAGCCAGACACACCCAGGTAGCCCACCTCTGGTGTGGTGACTCTAAGGGGAGGCTTGTCCTGATATCAGGGTTCCAGGATGCTCCCCAGAGGAAGTGAGGCGTAGGTGCATTCCCCAGAAGACCTCACCTAAGGGAGTGGTGACCAGCTGAACCTCAGCCAGAAGAGGTCCTGGGACTGCCAGCTCTGCCACAGAGAGTATGGTGGGCTGTCTCTCCTGGGACTGCAATTGGAGAAGTTCAGACCCTTCCTCACTTCCCCTGACTTTCTGGAAAGAGGCCCTCTATCCCCTAAGGTCTTATTTCCTTTAGATAGATGCATCTGCCAGAAGAAAGGAGGCTCAGTTCTGCCAGAGCTGCAGGGACAGGCCTCAGGGCTGGGCAGGGAGCCCTGCTGACCTCACTGCAGAGCAGGTGCTTGGGGGTGGGAGGGGATGGGATGGTTTCTAAGTCAAGGTCACAACCTCTAGACACAAGGCCTCCTGTCAAGGATCAAGTGACCAGAGCCAGGTACCAGAGCTGTCTCCCAACATGGTCCTTGCGATGCTGTAGTAGAGAGCGGGGCTGGGTTAACAGCTACTGGTAGATAGTGTTCTCATTCCATGGGGTGCTGTGTGACTGGGGGCAATGCACTTAAGCCCCTCTAAGTGTCAGTTTCATCTTTGAAGTGGAGGTAATGACAGTATTTGCCCCTTAGAGGTGCTGGAGGATCAAATGAGAGCAGACATTCAAAAATGTTGAGCATGGTAGACTTAATAAGAGTTCACTGCTGTCATTATCTCAGCGAGACATCTAAGGCCTGTCTCAGCTCTGCACCTTGCCTGCTGGGCCACCCTAGGCAGATTGCTTTGCTGCTCTGATCCTTAACATTCCCATTTCTGGAACCAGCTGCAGCTGTGAGGAAAGGACTTTAGGGATCCCCAGGATGGCCCAGGGGGACATGGCAGGCAGAAAGTTCTGTTGGTCCCTCTTGGGCACCACCTAAGCTGAAAGCATGGTGTTTAGAGGAATTCTACATAAATCCCAGACCACTGTGCCCACTCCCTACCCTCTCCCCACCCCTCAGCTCCCCACCATGTTTAGATCTGGGTCACGGAGGTTGACCGCTAAGCAGCTCCCTGTCTCTTTTCCATCTGGCTTTCATCCTTCTCCCCTCTAAATCTGTACAGCCTTCTCCCTCTGGTCACCTGCATCCTTCATGTCCTGTTATGCTTGCTACATCTGAGGGAAAAGGAGCAAGGGAAGGGCATGTGAGTCCTGTCTCCTTTCAGGGCCCCTTTCTTGTCTTCGCAGATCCAGATGTGGATCTAATATCTGGCAGGCAGCAGGACCAGTGTCAGCTGAGAGCTGCATCTCCCCAGCCCTCGCCCGCGGTGATGCCTTTGTTCCATGTTTCCATGGTAACTACAGACTGGGAAGATGGCAAAGAGGAGAGATGAGTAAGCAGGGGAGAGCCAATGAGATGGGCCTCAGCACCGGCAGATTGTGGGGCCATAGGGAGGAGGGAGGCAGCCGCTCCCTGGGCCCTCCCTGCCATCTGGAGCCCTTCGCCAGGGGATGTGCTTCTGACACTGGGGAGCCCTGGAGGTGGGGGGGGCAGGGGGGAAATAGCAGAGGTGGAGGCCAAAGAAGCTGAGCCTTTCTACATCCTCAGGACCTGAGTCTGGGGTGCTGGCCATACTCCTACCATCACCCCCCTCAGGACCTAAAGTGGGAATTTTCTCTTTTGCCGAGTAGTGGTGGGGTCACCATCTCTGCGTGCCATGAAATCGCCAGCTTTTAGCCAACCCTCCCCTCCACACCCTTCAGAACCTGCCCCCCCTCCATGTGGTATGTTCAGAAACAGTATCTTCAGAAAGAGGCCTGGGTTGTTTTTTTTTTTTTTAAGATTTATTTATTTATGCATACAGAACTGGGGTACAGACTAGAGGTGCAGGGGCAGTGAGAGGATTCAGCAGAAACAGAGTGGGGAACAGGACAGGCAGATCAATGAAGTACACTGCTGCGGGGAGCAGCGGGTGGGCCAGGAGAGGTCTGCCGCGCCATGTGGGTCACTCCAGGGCAGGGAATCGAACTCAATGCTGAAGCTGCTGGGGCTTTAACTCACTGTACCACCAGGGAGGGCTTGAGGCTTGGTTCTTAATCCCAAACTTACCACTATGAAGGAGAGGCCTGGAGCAAGCCCCTTACCCCTCGTGAGTCTCCTTTCCTCTCACTAGAGGAAGGCCCTCTGTTTCCTGCATTTCACAGGAGACAGTGTGTGAAGCCTAGCACCCTGATGCTCCAGCCAGGGGCCGCTTCCTCCTCTGGCCTACTCCCCGGGCAGCTATCCCAGAGGAATGAGCCAAGGACCCTTGAGACCTGGAGTCAATAGAGAGGACACACATTTATCTCCACTTCTACTCACTGAGTTCATCAACTACCTTCAAATACTGCAGAGAAGTTTCCTCATCTCTCTCTTGCTCTCTTAACAATTTGCCCATCCCCCATGTGAGCTTCTCCTGTCCCCGGTGCTGAGCTGGATGCTTAAGAGCTGGGGGGGCAGAGGTGGGGGCCAGGTAAACTGGAGCCCCTGCCCAGCCCTTACTGACCTCACACTGAAAGGGCCTGCAGGCCCTGGGGCAGAGCAGGCACTCTCTCTGCCACTAGGACACCACTTCCTTGTTCCTCAAGAGTTCCAGATACTGTGGGTCTGAGGGAACAAATGATGGCAAAAAATAGAGGTTTACCGAGCACCAATTTGCTTCTTAGAAATTGCCACCTGGGGCCGAATGCTACCTGGAAAGAGAACAAGGACGCTAGCTCCTGCCCAGGGAGCAGGAGCAAGGGCCTCACCCCTGCCTTCCCAGAACCAGCTGAGCTCCTTGTGGCCAGCAGAATGAAGCCCAAACTCTAGCCTCGGCTCCTGCTTCACCTGTCCAGTTTATTACTGAAATTCCGCTCCTGAAGTGTGTCTGGCAGGTAGCAGGCATGAGTGAATGGACACTGAATGCTGAGTGAATGAGTGAGTGAAACTAGTTCTCTAGTTTTGGGGGCTCTGGAGTGAGATTCAGTGTGGTGTCAGTCCTGCCCCTGTTACTTAATACCAGCTGTGTGACCTTGGGCAAGTCACAGTCTTTCTGGGTCTCAATTTCTGCTTTGAATTGAGTCCTAATTGCCATAGAACATTATGTATTGGTTTCAGGTGCACAAAGCCTAGTCAATATTTGTATGTTACAAAACGATCACCATTAATAAGTCTAGGGAGCATCCATCCCCATACGTAATTGCCAAACAATTTCTTTCGATGAAAATCTGGGTTGCCTGAAAGCAGCATTTCGACACCCCACCCAGCAGTGTGCTAAGGAGGTGAGATAAGCTATCAGGTAGCTGTTCTGGGAGATAAGGTAGAGTAGGCTTGGGAATGCAGTGTTGGGGGGGGGCCTCTAAGGTCATTCTGTTCAATGCCATTTGCTAATAACACTGACGGGGGCACAAAATCAATTCCTGGCCAGGCTCACTGTCTGCGGCACTGCAGACTCCTCCGTGGCATGGTTTCCCCTGGCCACGTCCAGTGCCTCCTGCAGCCTACAGATGTGCTGGGGGATGCAGGCGTGTCCCACTGTCCCAGTGGGAGTGCCCGGGGTGCCTCTGAGTACCTGACACAGCAGGGTACCTGGTCCCAGCTGGTCTCTTCCTTGCACCCTGAACTGCCAGCTCACCCAGGACCCTGCATGAAACATGTGGGCTGGGAAAAAAATGAATGAAAACCAACTATTGTAGAATATTAGAAATCTTTTGGTCCGAATGGAGAAGCTTGGTGATGTCTTTGTAACCAGAAATATGCCATAGGAAGTTCTCTTGTGTGGAT